TTCCTCTCGTGTGGATCTGATTTTATCTTTTCAGTTTCAACCTGAATGTACATTTGAGCAATTGATAGTGTTTCTCAGTCAGCCCTGGGCTTGTTTTGGCTGATAATGTTGAGCTTGCCTATTCTCTTTTCCCACAAATGTAGCTAATTTGATTCCTATGAGTTCCACCCAGGGAAGTCCATGTGTGCAGTCGCCTTTTGTGTTGTTGAAAAGGTGCATTTATTGGGGGCAGAAAGGGGGAACCAATCACAAGGATCTACATATAACCCCTCCCAGGGGGGACAGACAACAGAAAAGTGAGTGAAGGGAGACAGCACTCAGTGTAAGACATGAAAAAAATAATAATTTATAAATTATTGAGGGTTCATGAGAGAGGGAGGGAGGGGGAAATGAGGAGCTGATATCAAGGGCTCAAGTAGAAAGAAAATGTTTTGAAAATGTTGATGTCAACAAATGTACAAATGTGCTTGACACAGTGGATGCATGGATGGATTAGGACAAGAGTTGTAGGAGCCCCCAATAAAATGATTTTTTTAAAGTTACAATCTTGGAAACCCACAGGGGCAATTCTACCCTGCCCTATAGGGTCACTATGAGTCAGAATTGACTTGATAGTAGTGAGTTATGTCCCTAAATCTTTACCTTTAATCCTTCAGTTTCATCTGCCCCAGTCAAGTCAATTCAGTGCATGGTGACCTCCGTGCGTGTCAGAACAGAACTGTGCTCTATTCTAAACAAAAAAGAACGAAAGGAAAAATGCATTTTCAGTGAAGTCATTGGTCACGCAAAATTCTCCAGTGATCTCCAGCTTTGTCTCTCTTATTAAGTCTGCGTTCTTCAACAACTGCTCCTTCTTCTTTGTTCCTAACTTTTTCCTTCCAATCACCAGTATTTATCAAGGCCTCTTGACTGCATGTTTGATTACTTTTAGATTGAAGCAATTGGTAGAATTCTATAATTTATCAGCACTCACATTAAAGTAAATCTGAAAATAGCTGCATTATCTAGACTCCCTTGTAGGCATATAGATATATCCAATCACAGATAAAATTGAACTTAAAGAACTATCCTGAAATTTTCTTTTTGAAGATGAATGTTATGCCATTTCTCTTGAATTGATCTTCCTACCATAGTAAACCATTTGATTAGGTAACTGGAAATGGCAAGCAAAAACTTAATTTCAGCTCATTAATGTCTAGGATGTCAATCTTTATGTGTTCCATTTTATTTTTTATGACTTCCAATTTTCCTATAATCATACTTTGTACATTTTACTTTCTGATGATTAATGGATGTTTGCAGCTGTTTATCTTCATTTTCAGTTCTGTCCCATCAGCAAATTAAGGTCTTGACAGCTTTGTTTCATCCACATCATGAAGATAGACCCTACTCTGAGGAGTGCCTCAGTTGTATTTGGAGTGCCTTTGAACTTCCCTTCAGGTGCTGTCATTGGATACTGTGCTGCTGCTATTCATAAGGTGAAAACCTCAGAAGTGGATCGCTCCTTGCACCTTTCCAGTCTATTTGCAGTCTCCGTTTCTTCTGAAATGGGCTCACCATGGGCAATCCTGCTGCTATCTGAAATACCCATGGGATAGCTCACGACCTCATAGGCAAGGAATATGCAAGCCACCATAGTAGTAACTGGCAGTTGATAGGTGGGCCTGTTTTCTACTTGGGTCAAAATATGACATGTAAAACAGTCATTCAGTTGACATAAATTCATATAATGTCCTTCTTTCTGTAGGCCATGATGAACACAATTCAAACTGGTTTAAAGCCCTATGTGATACATAAGGTCTTGTGTGTCAACTTGGCTGAGCTAGGAATTTAAGTGGTTTAACACTTAAGATTTAGTAATTCCTCATGATATGATCTAACACCATGTAATCACTTCCACAATTGGATCTACTATGAACAGCCAAGTAGTTGTAAGATGTAACTTCTGAGATCACAGTACAGAGCCAATCAATTGAAGGATGATTCCTCAGGGGTGTGGCCTACTGTCAATATAGATACTGTAGAAACTGTTTGCTTGCTTTGTTGCTGGGTGAGGATCATGTATCTGGCTCATTGAACTATAGTTTTTTGGAGTTGACCCAATGCCTGCTCTATTGCTTGCTGATTCTTGGTGTCATCAGTGACCTACCAACCTTGGATTTATTTGCCTCTGCAACCACAAGCCTGGCCTGCCAATCTTGTAGCCATCTCCTCTGCAGAAAAGACTGTTGTCTTTCTGCCAAACTTGGCTATATCGTTCCCCCTCCAGCCCTCCCTTCCTCTCCCCCCGGCTCCCATATGTTATTCAGGAGGAAACCTCCAGCCTGACATCTGAACCACAGTCTTAAAACTTGCCTAGACTAGAACTAGCTGATTTCTACAACTGTGTGAACCCTTGCTTGGCATAATTGTCTGTCTGTAAATAAAGAAATAATATCTGTTTATCTATATACAGGTTTTGTTGCTCTCTAGAGAACATAGCCTAAGGCACCCTACATAGAATTAAACTATAAGTAAATGTGTATATATGTTTGTATTTTTTCCAGTGAGGAATCTGTGACTTTTAACACTACATAGATGAACATTTTACTGTGATCAATCCTCTCTCTTTGCTCTTTGGATATAGCTCAGTTCCAACACTAAATTATAAGTCCCTGAGTCACACAAAGCAGGAAGCATGCTTGATTTTCCAACAAAACCAAAGTGCTTACCATAATGAATGGCATATAGTTTGTGCTCAGTAAAAGATTATTTATTGTTAGGTGGCAGTTACATCTTGAGTTGCACACTTGTAAAGTTGGCAACTTAAGCAGATTAGTTCAGTTTCAGTTATTCTATCCCAAAAAAACTGAGTATGTTAATGACCATATGCTACTTACAGAACTTTTTCCCCAAGTGGCAGTGACAACACTTCATCCCTTAAGAGGAAGAAAAGAGAACTTGTTTCTTAAAATTGTGTTTTGGAATTTTGAAGAGATATTTCAGTCTTCTGTGGTTAAGCTGGATGCTTGTCTCCCGTTGCACTGTGCTCTGTGACCTGAGAGTTGGCAGCAACGTCTTGTTGAAATATTATCACTGGTTAGTGATTAACTACTGAGAAGATTCTGAACACACAGGGGGCACTGTAAAGAGCTGAGAATGAGAGGGCTTACTTCTAAGCCTCCTCTGTTTAGATATTTAAATTAATCAATAACAAAACCATTGCATTACTCACAGCTACCTGAAGGACTGTAAAGAACAGACCCATAGCATTTCCAAGGGTATACATCTTTTTCGGGCACAGTAGCTAGTAGATTCAAACCACTGACCCTATGGCTAGCAGACTCAAGTTTACCTCTCTGTTGTTCTGCCCAACATGTGTGTCAGTGTATCATTTTGTGGTGGCTCACATCTTGCTGTGATGCTGAAAGCTATGCCATTGAGATTTCAAATATGGACAAGGTTACCCATGGGGAACAGGATGGATCTGAGCATTCAGACTAAGAACAGACTCTGAAAAAGGCAGAGACAGTCCACTTCTGAGGGTTTGCCACTGAAAATAGAACACTATCTGAATAGTGCCTGAAATGAGCCCCTGGAATTGGGAGGCTCTCAAATCACAACTAGGGAATAGCTATTCCTCAAGGAAAAGTTGAACTGAAGCATTAGCCAAAAACAATGTTCCAAGAATTGATGGAATACTCATTGAAATGCGTCAGGAAGCTGAAGAAGCACTCACTTTTCTATGGCAGGAAATTTGGAAGACAGCTACATGGACAACTGACTGGAAGAGATCCCCATTTGTGCCCTTTCCAAAGAAAGATGACCCACGAGAATGCTCAAATTATAGAATGATATTGTTGATATAATATACAGGTACAATTTTACTTAAGAAAATCCAACAATGGTTGCAGCAGCACATTGACAGGGCACTGACAGAAGGTCAGGCCTATTCAGAAGTGGACGTGGAACAAGGGCTATCGTTGCTGATGTCAGATGGATCTTGACTCCCAGCAGAGAACACTAGCAAGGTATCTGCTGGTGTTTCACTGACTATGCAAAGGCATTCGACTCTGTGGACCCTGATAAACTGTGGATCACCTTGAGAAGAATGGGAATTCTGGAACACTTCATTGTGCTCATTCGGAACTTGTACATGAATCAAGAGGCAGTTGTGCAAACAGAACAAGGGAACACTGAATGGTCTAAAATCAGGAAAGGTGTGCATCAGAGTTGTATCTTCTCACCATACTTATTTAATCTATATGCTAAGCAAATCATCAGAGAAACTGGATTATAGGAAGACGAGTGTGGCATCAAGACTGGAGGGAGTGCTGGAGAAGAATCTTGAAAGTACCATGGACTGACTGCTAAAAAGACAAACCACCCTGTATTGGGAGAAGTAAGGGCAGAGCGCTCCTTAGAGGCAAGGTAGGACTTCATCTGACATCCTGTGGGCCTATGGTCAGGAAAGAGCTGTTCCTGGAGAAGGAGGACATCTTGTTTGATAACGTGGAGAGGCGGTTAAAAAGGGGATGGCCCCGGATGAGCTGGATGGACACAGTGGCTCCCCCAATGGGCACAGGAACAATTGTGAGGATGACGCAGGATCATGCAGTCTTTGCTCTGTTGTACACAAGGCTGTTGCTGTGGGTTGGAGCCAACTGGATGGCACCGTGAGTCTTCGGACTGTCAGATTAGTCTTTTTATTTCTTTCCTATCTTTCCCATGGTTTATTCTGTTGTATACTGGGTAGCGATGAATAGACATTGACTAGACGATCCATAACAACGACAACAAAAGCAATGTTGTTGTCTAAGCCCTTGACATGCCTATTTTACCAGATTCTCAAAATCGCTTGGTACCTTTATTACTCTTATTTATTTATTTATTCATCGGACTGATAACAGCATTGCCTGGGTTTATTTGTACAACAAACAGCACAAGAAGACACCAGCACCATGCAAGTGGCAGCCCAGGGATCACACCAGTCCCTCTTGCCCTCACACGGTGAACTCTACTTTTAGGAGCCTGGGCGCCTTTGACAGCTTTTGCTGGAGTCGAGGTCTTGGCTGGAGCCTCAGCCTTGCTTTGTGCCTTGGCCTTGGACGGGCAGAGCCTCAGACCCTTGACAATACGTGCCGGTGCCCGCTTGCCAAGCTTGGGGTGGACTATGTAGGCCAGTCGGCTGAGCTTGTGGTTGACGCCCATTGGGATCTTGGCCTTGACCTCTGTGGGCTTCACAAGATCCTTGATGACCTCAGTGCAAGCAGCCGCAGCCTTGGCATTGTTGGCCTGCATTTTCTTCAGGCCGTTCTTGTTGTGCTTCTTGGGGAAGCGCATGTTCCTCAAGAACTTGGGGTCCACTCCCTTAAGAGATTTGTATCATTGCCAGAAGAAGCCAGCTCCTAGTACAATCATTACGGGTTCGGTAGGTGCAATTGTACAGCAAAAATAAGTAAATATTATAGTAAAGTCATAGAGAGCATGAGAGATAGGAGAGAGATATAGAAATAAATGGAGTCAGACACACTTCATGGTAGCATTGCTCACCTCAGCCACGCTTGGTGGTCCACGTGGAGGGAGAGAGAAACTTTAATGCTTCCCAAACTTTTATCCTCTCTGGGGACGTGCAAGCCCTCTAATTACAGGTGAAGACATACGTCACAGGAAAGGGTTGTGCTATAGGTATTACAGTAATGGGAGGGGGTGATCTAGGAGTATCCATGCAATAGGAAGAGGAGGGATTGGGGGTATACAAGATGGGCGGGTCTTAGATACAGGATGGCAGCCTAACTTTGAATATCACAGAGCCAGTTTGGCTTGTTCCTGGCCCAACTGATAGAGAACATTATCGGTAGGATGTGAACTCCGCCTGCAGGAGCCTGTCCATTGTCCCCAGCAGCAGGGAGCAGGGCCCACTGCAGTCTGGCAACTGATGGCCCTCAGGGGGGGAATGCCTGTGCATCTGACCTCCCCCCACAGTATCATTGTGATGGGGTTTTTTTTATGCCATTTCCGGGATTGGTTGTGTGTGGTGTGGTTCTTGGACTTGACCATGTCTGCACCAACGCCTGCAGCTCCCAGAGCACCAGGGATGAAGAGAGTGCTATTACTCTTATTTTACAGGTAAGGTTATTGAGCACTTTTTATGGGAAGCAACTTGTTCAAGGTCCCTGAGTTAATAACTAGCAGAGCTATGATTCTAGCCTCAATTTATCTAATTCCATAGCTTCTTATTCTTACTTCACGGGCAAGAGTTGGTTAGAAAGATTTGGCCCAAAAGGGCTTCTGGATGCAGTTTCTAAAAATATTCATTTTTCATAAGACAGACCAAAGAAAAGGGATTCTATCAGGTGCACAAGCTGAGCTTTGAAAAGTGTCTATGGCACATTTACTTCCCTCTTCCCAAGCAAGCTGCCTTTTTTTTTTATAGTAGAGAACATATACCACTTGACATTACTCTTCTTGACAGCGGGAGATTACATGCTGGACTTGAGTGAGTTTCTGTCAAGAAAAATTTATTGCAATTTTCAAGATGGCTCTTAAAAGAGATGGCTGTTTTGCATTTTTTATCCGAGTCCTAAAAATATGTCAGGTTTGATCTTCCACAAAATCACCTTGTATAAACTTCCTGCTTCGTTTCCTCACCTCCTCATTCGCAGCTCCCCCAACCTTTGCATGCAATTGCTGGTGGAGTTGCCAAAACTCTCCCCAGAAAACTCAGCAGCCGGCCGCCTTGCCCAGAATTTTGTAGATCCCCTTGGAAGTCACTATTTTAATTAGTTTTTTTTTTTAATATAAGGCATCCCAGGGAGAGAGACTCCACTGCTTGTCTGTCAGTTTATCGTACTGTAGTGGTGTGTGTGTTGCTGTGATGCTAGAAGCTATGTCTCTGGTATTTCAAATGCTTTGAAGC